AAAAAAAAAAAAAAAAAAAAAAAAAAAAAAAGCAAGCAATAATAGTAACTTATTTCTAACACTTTAATAGTCTATCTAGGCTACCAGCCTTCTGCCCTTAGGGCATGTAGCACTCATAGCCAGAACTATGTCAAACCAGCCAGTGAACTGATTTAGTAATCACACACCCTTAATTGCAGCATCATATACTTTATCTGGATCTAGCCATCTCTGAAAAATCCTACAGGAGTGACACAAGCTATAATAACTGCTGTGGGAACATTTTATTACAATCTATGTGCTACACCCATCTACTTGACTTCAGTGTTTTCTTTAATGGTTTTGTATACTTTCAGCTTGAGTACATTATACGTGCTTATTTTAACAAAATTTATATTTTGGGAAAAACAATGTGCCTTTCTTTTCAGATTTTTACTGTGGAGAAAAAACATCAAACAATGATCAATGGGAAAGTCAGACTAGGTCAGAAATACCAGCATATAACTTCACAAACTTTTTTTGTTGTTTCCATTTTTTTTTTAACCAGATCTAAAGTTTTTCTAAGGATTTTCTTCCATTATTTTTTCCTTCTCTAGCACATATTAACAACAGTGAATTAATTAAGTTACTATAAAACACCCAGATTAACCACTCTATAATTTTCCTTTATAGATTTTTACTGTTTCTAGATGAATATATGATGAGAAATTCAACACTGATAATCTTGGATATTCTTATCATGAAAAAATAAAATAAAGGAACTTGACCACCAGAAAAGTTTTATCAACAGTTAGAACTTCATTTGAATGCTTTCTAGAATATGGAAAAAATAATAAAATATATCTTCCATGCTACATATATAATAAAAATTTCTATAATTGTATGTATGCCTTTGATGTATTTCCCCTCTAGATTCTAAACTGTGTGCTTCACAAGTGGATATTGAATCTGTTATCAGTTGAAGTTTTTGATTGGTAATATAGTAAGGATTACTTCAGAAACAGAAAACCTGTAAAGCGATATTAACATCTGAGCAAACAAGTGCTTTGTATCTACTTTAATAATTGGTTATTATTACTTTTGAAATATTAAATTGTACAAATTTATGAGAAATTCTTGAGTGACCTATAGCATTTTAAAGAGGTTAAAATTAATAGAGAATAGGAATTGAGATATCAAGCACAATTTTGACATGTTATAAAATTTCAATCGAGTAAATTCAATATTTTATATAGCACAACTTTTTTTTTTTTTGGTCCTTGTGCTTGCAAGGCAAGCAGAGGCACCACTGAGTTAAATCTCTGGCCCTATAGCACAACTTTTTACATAATGATAAGGTTAATTATATCTTAAAGTTATCACTACAAGCAAAAGTGATGTTATTCAATAGCTACATATACCTCTGTGTACGTTTATGCATATATATATATATAAATTAATGAGCTAAAGAAGCTTGGTTATGAAAAGGCAAGGAACCTTATAGTTTAAAGTTGGTTTTGAAATATTCAGTGTGCTGTAAATAAGAGATATTAAAAGGTCATTCTTTATCCATGTAAAGATAAGAGTCTCTGTTCTCTGTGAAAGCTATACAGGTAAATAATAATATAATTATTGTAATTAATGTAATTATTAAAAGACTTCAGATCTTCCATATATGCCAAATTTTAGTTGCCTGATTTAACAATTCAGTAGCATAACTAAAGTAGTTAGGGCGCAAGTGCTCAGAGTTATGTCCGAGTCTGTTTAGTCCATACGCGGATGGCTTTGTAAAAGCAGATGCTGACCTGGATTGAACAGAATAGGATTGCTTATATGGTTTTTCTTAGTATTGGAGGGAAAGCAGTTCCTGGATCCCTTGCACAAGACACCAACATCCAAGGGTGCTGAAGTCCATTATATAAAGTAGTACACTATTTCCATATAACCTATGCAATCTTCTCATTCACTTTGCATCATTATTTATAAGACCTAGTACAATGTAGTTATTATAGTATTGTTTGGGGAATGTTGACAAGGAAAATATATACCTGTGCAGTATGGGTGTCATCGTTTTGAGTATTTTTAATCTGCAATTGGTTGGGTCTGTGGGAATGGAAGGCACACTATATAGGACTGGATTATGGAGTCAATGAGAGGTGTTTAACTTGGTTAGTGCTGTATTTTTTAATTGATATATGAGGAAGTAATTTTTCTTCTGGTTCTATATATTTAGGAAATTATACTTATGCAAGCAGGCTTGGAATTCTTTATCCAACTGATACTCCCAGAATCCAGGGGAAAGCATTTTATAGGAAATCTGAATTTAGATTATAAACTGAGTGAATCATAAAAGGAATGCAAAAATGATGATAATTACAGTCTTTGGAATGCAAGTGAATCTTATCACAGTGCACTAAGCTTAGCAAAAATATATGGATTGAAATTTGACTTAGTCTAACTACCATATACATATAAACAGTTCAATCATTTTATAGATCCAATGAAAGATGTTCATTGCCCTTGTCCACAGACCTACTGAGGGCATTTGGCCAAGTCTATTATAATGATTGTTAGATTATTTGTCTTTTATGATGATGCATCCATTTGCATATGTTCAGTAAGAATCAGGCCTTCTCTTTGCCAGGATATTATTGAAAAGCTTGATGAAGTGACCAGAGCATAGGCTTGTCATTTCATCACGTATAACAAGCCCACTCCTGAGCAACTGTGGTTGTAGTTCACAAGGGAACCATTGGTTGTCAAGCTGCCTTCCCGGGACATTGGAGTGATACCTGTTCTGTGGTTGACATGGTCCCTCCCAGCTCACAGGTAGAAAGAGAGGTTACTTCTTGGAAGGCCAGAAACCTTGGAAGGTGTGAGGGACATTAAAGAAATAAATAAATCTCTTAATTGCCTGGCATGGACATATTCCTTGCATTTATCTGCCTAAATTTGGAACAGTTGAGAGAAACCCAGTGAGGTGGTGATCCCAACAGTTTATCAATGGAAAACCCACAAATGATATATTTACAGACAAGTGTGAATAGCCATTAATAGAAATGCATGGATTTCATACCCAGCAGTTAGAAAGATAAAAAGAAAAAAATTTACCAAGACATGAGAGATAGCATTGATATAAAACGATCTTTCCACCATGTGGTTTGGAGTGTCAAGGAAGGGCTTCCCTGTCACAATGCCAGCATTGTTAATGAGGATAGTCACATCACCAACTTCTTCTTTAACCTGTCCAGAAGTGAGGCAAATATAAATCAGTGCAGGTGGTGCGTTTTCATATTTATTTTCCCAAGTACTGTTTTTTCTTTATTTTTTCAGGTACAAATATATATCACATAATGATGCTACCATCAATGATATAGCACTTATATAATGGTAATGCCAAGATTATATTGTCTAGTGGTATCGTAGCCATCTTATTTTTCATAACTATGCTTTGTGATGATATCATCTAGCAATGTGTTTCTCAGAATGGCTCCTGTTGTTTAGCAATGCTAATTCTAGTTTCTTTAAAACTAGTTATTTTTGACTGCGGGTTTAGCTCAGTGGTTCCACTGCCTGCCTTGCAAGTACAAGGTCCCGAATTTGATCCCCTGTAACAAAAAAAATAAAACAAAAAAACCTAGATATTTTATCTTGCAGAAAGTAATACAGCAAATTTAAAGTAACTTTGTGATCTATTATAATTTTTAAAAAAGCACATTTTAATTTTGCAATTTTGCTTAAAAACTTCTTGATTCTTATGTAGAGGTTATCTGCTGTTTATCTCAGCACATTTTCTTTATTGCCTAGTTCTACTATGTTCATGCCCTTTCTTGCTGAGTCAGTTAATGGCAGTGCAGAAAGAGCAGTATCATCTCCTTGTGCACCTCTGGGCATCTTTCTTTAAATGGCAGTTAGGGGTTCTTTGTTTTTCAGCACAGCAGACTTCTGGTGATTTTTTCTGTAGGTGTCATTTCCATGTGCTAGGGACACGAGCCATCCTTCTAAGGCTGGTCCCATTCTTGGAACACAGAAACCTCACATAGGGATGTATTTGATCCAGTGCTTGTAGACTTCTGTGGCTCTATTAAAAAATCTATCTCACGTATAGTAACCAACTGTGACTAATATTTCTCCCAGGCTCTACAGTTGTGCTGCTGCTTATCTCTTTAGAAAGTCTCATCCCTTCTCCCCTAAATAGTGCACCTTTCCAGCTTGCATAATCCACACATCACCACAAGCTCTCCTTGGAGACAAAGTGTGCTTCAGGAAAAACCAGAGGAACTATTTTTCTCTCTTATCATTTTGTTTCAAGCTATTTGCTAAAGTTGACCAAAGGGCAAAACATTAAGCATACTTAAACATTGATTTACTCTGTGTGTGTGTGTGTGTGTGTGTGTGTGTGTGTGTGTTTGTGTGTGTGTGTATTTTGGCAGGTATGACAATCTGTTTCTTTGTTTTCAAACAAAAAGCATTGCCTGGCTTGACTTGATTTTCTAATTCTTGGTCCATGCACATCTATGCATTGATGCTGCCAGATAACACAAACTGGAGAGATTAGGTAACTATTGATGCTGATGTAATTGAGTGAGATAAGTTGTAAAAGGAAGACTGAATATTTGCTGCTCTGATGTTGGGTGAAAGGATTAGTCTCTTCTGTTTTGGAGAGAGGTAAGACCCAGGAAAATGTATACAAGGGGCTTTTGTGTTTCATTACTGAGGAGTAAACCCAGACCCTGATGCTCGATAGGCAAGTATCCAAGCTACATCCCTTCATTTAATTTACTGGGAAACTGAGTCTTGCTAAATTGCACAAGCTGACCTCAAACTTGTAATCTTCCTACCTCAATTTCCCAGGCAGTTGGGAATATGAGCATGTGTTATTGTATCCTGTAAGGTGTTTTCCTTGAGTGAGGTTACTGGGGATTGAACCAAGGGCCTTCACATTGGGCTAAAACTCCAGCTCCCCTGTCCTTTTTATTTTTTATTTCTAGACAGGTTCTCACTAAGTCACTAAGTTGCCTGGGATGGGCTCCAGTTTGTGATTCTCCTACCTCAGCCTTCCAGCGTGCTGGGATTACAGGTGAATACCACAGTGCCCTGAAAGAACTTTAAAAGAAGGACATTTTGTTGGCTTGGTGATAGAATAGGTAAGCACAAACTTTCAGTCCTGGACTGATGAACAGGGTAAATGGGCTGAGAAGGACAAAAGGATATGGGATCTTTGGCATAAAATATTCCCAAATATTCAAGAAAAACCCAGCAATCACTGTTACCCAATTCAAAGAGCTTTGAGTCTAGGGCATACCAGAGCAAGGCAGAATTTTATCTAGGTCATGGGGTTTCATTTACATTGTGATCTGAAAGGCAATTTAAGGAGACCTTATTATCACAGTTCATGCATGAGGAAAAAGCCTCTGAGAAATCAAGATCTTGCCAAAAGATTTCTATGAGGAATTGTAATGATCCATACCCATTATAGTTTCACATATGAAAGCTACTTTCACCCAAATTTAACAATATTCCTTGAAAAAATTATTTGTAGCAAACAAATCTCATAAATACAAATGATTGATTAGACTTGGAGACTTGAAAATAAATTGTGAGGCTGCTTATTTTTTAACAGAAACAATTATCTACTTGTATATTGACTTTCTGCACTGGAGATGGGAATGCTATTTCAGTTTAATTTTGGAGAGTTAATTTCTATGTTCCATCAGGATGCTATTGTTATTTTTCCAGTATCCCACAGAATTCAAGGATTGGGGTAATACCTGTAGTTTGTTGAAATTTTTACAACTGAAGGTTACTGCAGTATTTGGTTTTCTTGGGAGTTGATGAGTAATTGAACTAAATAAGCATGGTTGACTTAGAAAAATTCTTATAGAATTATAGACAAGAAGAAAAGTTTCAGATGCAATCCAATGATGAAAAGTAATTTTTTTGATGGTACTGCGATTAAACCCAGGGCTTTTGCACTATGCTATATCCTCAGCTCTTTTTATTTTTAAATAAGATTCAGCTAATTCATTAAGTTGTCTAAGATGAGCTCACACTGTCATTCTCCTGTCTTTTCAGCCTTCCATAATACTGGGACTATAGTTGTTCATCACCAAGCCCAGCTCAAATGTGATTTTTTGAGTAAGGTTTTTAATCCCAGTTTTCTATTAGAGATAAAGAAAATTTGAACTAAGATGGAAAAATTTCAAGGGAGGCAGGGACAGAAGAAGTTCTAACCCTTTGGAGCTAAGAAAGTTTACGAGGGGGTCTTTGCAGTGCTTGCACATTGTTGATTCCTCTGTGGAACTGTAACGTGGGCTGCAATGCTAGGAGGATGAGGCTACACTTCAGCTCTGTCACTCATCTGTTCTGTGACCTGGCTCCGTTTCTTAAACTCTCACTGCCTGTGTTTTGCCATTAATAAAATGGAGAAAATGATAGTATCTACTACATTGTGAATGTGGTGTATGATGATAACACAGGAGAAAAGATTTTCTCAGAGGTTCAGTCTTGGGAAGTATGTAGTACTGGGACCAAAGACCCTGCTAGACAGATTACATCCTTAAACTCATCCCAAAGATACTCATCTGGGAACTTTTCCTATCACATTTATTTCTCTTTTACAAAAGAAAGACTAATTTTGTTTCTGTTCACTCTGTACTAAAATATACCCAGGGAGCTGTACATTTTCTCATTAGCTGACAATGAGTCATAAAAAACAAATCCTATGAGGTTCCAAAGCAAAGAAGAAAGTAATAGAAAGAGAAAGAGAAGAATGAAGAGGGTGGCTCAGAAGGTCAGTGGCACAAAGTAGCAATTCAGTAATTAATTTTTGAATGATTCATTAAGTAAATTCCATATATGGAGCTTAGCTTGCAAAAGGGAAGGAAAATCCTATGGAATTGTGTAACCAAATTTTCTAAACATTTTGGCTCCAGGTTGTGCTAGAAAAAAATTTTGGCTCTGCCAATCACTAATTTTATGATTTTGGCCATGTTCATATACACTTTGCTCCTCAATTTCCTTATTTTAAAATAGGGGTAATAATGGTGAACACCTATGAAGGCTGTGTTGCTGATTAAATTAGTGGGTTTGTACATAAATTGCTTATAGTAGTAATAATTTGTAGTATCATTAATGTAGCTTTTGTTTTTACTTGTTTGTGTGGTTTTTGGTACTGTCTTGATACAATTTTGTAGCCCTGACTAAAGGGTGGTCAGTTTCCCTTTTTGAATAAGTGATTAAGTTTATATTTCCAACCACGTTCCTTTACTGTGTTCTCACACTCTGGGTTACTATATACCTACCCCAACCACCCTGGTAGAGTCAGCTACCACCTATGTCCTAGAATCCCCTGAAATTACTCCAATTGGCCAATCCTGAGACAATTTGTCCTGCATAGCCTACTTTTTCCTGTGGAAAGTACAATAAAGGTATTTACCTACTATTCCCTCTGCTTTCTGTTCTGCACATATTTTCCTTGGTGACCCTGCACCATGTGCTGTGCCTTCTCTAGGGGATTGTGAATAAAATAAAGCTATAAAATGTGCTCATTTTTCTCTCTTTGGATTTGCATCTGGCATCTTACCCCATGGTTAAAAAAACTCCTCAGACACTTTTCTTCTGTTAGAGCACATAGTAGCCATGCAATGAATCTTTGACATTTAGTGTGGAGTTAGAACAAATGTCAATATTTTAATTCTAAAAGGAAATTTGGCCTGAAAGTATGCTAAATATTTCTATCTGATGTTCCCTACCCTATATTCTCAGAACATGATGACAATTGACTTCTCACATGATTGAACAGAGTTTAACTGATATTAGAATTATGAACCATAAAAAGCTAAATTAAAGTCATACATTATTTTGAAGGTCATCAGGTTCAAACCTTTCATTTTATTGATAAAGAAACAGGGATGGGGAGAGGGAAAGTAACTTGATAAACATTCCATAAGCAGTGAACCACAGAGCTAGGATTATGCCCAGTTTCTGCCAATTCCTGCTGACTAGTGGAGTCATCATGCAAAGAAGTCTGGCAACATTGATCTCTGAAGGTTGATCAAATTTCCACTTGCTCTATTACTTTTGAAGGTCACAGAGAAACATGGAGATCATGGGGAAATCTTATGTTAATGTTCCTACTCGTGTCTTTGTAAAAGTGCATAATAGATGGGATGTACTTGGACACTCAATTGAAGAACACTCATCAGTTTACCTGATCAGCCACTCTGTAGACTTCTTTCCTGCTGCTACAGTCACACTTATAGGCAAAGGCTTTCACACCTTTTTCTTTGGCCAGTCTACAAGTCTCCATATTGGCTTCTTGATTAATGTCCCAGAGAACTAAAATGGCCCCAAGCCTAGCAAAATCCAAGTCCACTTCCAGCTCCTGTTATAAGTACAATCTCACCAGCAATGTCCTTTTTACTCTTGGGAATTATGTTGAAGACTAAGGATTCTAAAGCATAGTATAGAAATTTTCCCCAAAACACGGTAGTGTCCACTATTGTATTCATATTGGTTGCCTGAAGAAAGCAATGTCCTGAGGAGAAAAGAGAGCTTATAAGCTCATTGCTTGACAACTTCAGTGCATGTAAATAACGTAGCACAAGGGAAGGTACCTTCGATATCTTAAATCTCTATTATTATAATACTGTGCAACTCTTTCCATATACCAGGCAAATTCTAAGTGCTCAGAGTGTATCAAGTCATTTAAAACCTGCAATAGCTGCCCTGCTTACAGTTGTGAGAAGATTTTCGTTAGGATTAAGTCGGCCCATGGTAATACAGTTAATAGTAATGGGGATGAACTTAAACCCACACCATGACTTCACTGCTTAGTTTGTGAAATACTAAGAAACATTGCAATCCACACCCCTAATAAAGGGCAAAACTTGAGTCTGGTAAAAAGGATTGTCTTTGCATGACTTCCTCATTTTATAGCAATCAGGAATTAACTTTGAGATTCCTTGGGGCCCAATGAAGGATGTCAAAAGATCCAGGGGGCTGTCATCCCGCTGTTGTCCCTGTCTTGCTAGAAATTTCTACCCAGATGAAGATAGATAGCGTTGTTTCTAGGACATCTCTGGAAATATTTATGTAGGTTCAGGAGAGAAAAAAACAAACAAGTTAGTATCAGAACGTTACATTAGGTGCTGAGCTTTAAAAATGCTAATTTAAAGTTCCCACCCTTAAGGAAGACAACAGAGTCTAGTTCTAGAGCTTGGTAAGTAAACTCAAGGCTTCAATATGGTAAATGCCTCAGAAACAATCTCAACAAAAGGCTTGGTCCCTGGGCTGTGTGAGAACAAGCCCGGTTCTTGTAAAGGATTGAAGACCTTATTTGGATTTGTGGAAAATATTAACTATATTCTGAAATGTATTATCCTTGGAAAAAAAATTAAAGACTTTCGCTTACCTTAATGTTCACTAAGATTTAACGCAGATTTCAAATTTCCAAGCAGGAACGAGATGAAGATAGAGAAAATACACACTTCTTCAAGCTTATATATAGACTTTTCTGTGTGAAGAACAATCCTCCAGCAATAGATACTTCAATGATAAAAGGAATAGAAGGGAATGGGGAGTAAAAAGGACTAAGATGTGTACGTACCAGCTCCCCACAATGAATATATTCATTATATACTGCTAACATGTACTAAGAAAGGAAAATTATTTCTAGAAAATAAAAGTAAACGGAGGTATGATAGAGAAGGCATTCTGGGCCAAATAATTATTGTACACAAAACAAATAAGGATTAGGTTCTTCCTCTTACTTTTTCTGTACAAGTTTGTTCTCAATGTAGATGATGGGGTTTATCTTGGTAGAAATTCAAGTATGAAAATTAATAAATTTCAGCAACATTTTGATATGCTTGGCACTACCTAGAGGAAAAGTGCTATGACATTTTTCCAATCATTTATTGCTTAACTGACCACTGAATTAGAGAACATATTTTCAGAATCACCAAAAGCATTCAATTTTGGAACAAAGTTGAAAAGTACACGTGAGCCCTTACGTAGGAAGTGCTGGTCATTACAGTTTATTGCTTCCAAATGGGCAGTTGGGCAGCCATAGGAACAAAGCAGTCATAAAAAAATGAAAGATTATGATGAACAAACATATTTCAAGTTCTAAATAGCACTGTTTGCTTTTCATGCCTTATTTTATTCAATCCTCAAAATAGCCCTGTGTGGTAAGAATGAGACTAATATGGGAAAATAATTCTCCAAGAGTTGTACCCGTTGTAAACAGAAATGGAATCAGAGCCCAGACTCAATGGTTCTGGAACTTCTCCTCTGACCTAACCATGTAATTTCTCTAAATAACTTTTGGTAAACTGGCCTTTGAATCACAAAGTACTTCTTTCATTATTTCAGACATGGGTGCTTCAGGTTAAAGGATTGGCTGTGAGAATAGATAAGGCACAATACCATCATCACACAAATCTTAAAGCTAAAATGAGTAGAATTCAATTGTGGAAGCACCAATTTAACCAGTGGCCCAGCTACATACTAGTTGAGCACTTGGGTATATTTTGCCTTTCTGAGCCTTTGTTTATGTATCTGTGAAGTGATCATAATATTCACTTCCCAGGAATGCTACAGCAAGCGAAACATCCAATGTGACAAAGGATTTGATGAATTGTGAGATGCCAAGCAAATATTAGTCTTCATTTTACTTGCACAAAAATCTCTTTAATGATGACCCCGAGTCTGCAGCCAGCCAGCCACTTAACAAACATTTTCCATGCCAAGGTATGGAAAGCTTTTCTCTATAGTTTAGGTTTGTGCCTTAGCTATGAAATTGCTGAGAAGGGTTTTGAAGAAGGGTTAGCAAGGGAATTAATCAGGTTACATTTTCCATGTTAGCTTTAGGTAAGCATAAAAACTGTTGAGAGGCCACATACAATTGAGGGTATGCGTGTATACTAGCACACATAACCAAATTCAAGGTAAACTCTAGCCCATCGGTGCATTTCAGCTCACATGCTTTCCCTCACTCTTTAGAGTTTTCCCTCATTCTTTCAGAACATATTCCCCTCAGCATGCCAAAACCATTAAAAAGTGAGGGAAAAAATAATAATAAATGAATGAAAAAACACTGAAAATAACAACAGAATTAGTTCATATTGCTATTTAGTAATTGTATCAAACTGTGCTCAGAGAACCTGGGTCTCAACAACAGATACCTGGTATATTTTTCAGAAAGAGTTCAAAAGATCTAATCTTACCTGCACAACTGCTTTACTCACCGGCACAGGTGTCCTTATAGAGGAAGAAGAACACAGAACTCTCATTAACAGCTAGAATCTTGTCTGTTAAGTGATTCTGGTTTTACTTGTCTGCCTACACCTTTGGCAGCTCCCTGGGTGCCAAATCAAGGTGTGCTAATCATGGGAATTTGACTGTGCTTTACCTGTGTGGTAGAAGGTAATGTATGGTACACATGCTGTATTTCAACTTCGAGTGGCTTGGAGTAGAGGCTTATCCACCATTATAGTATCATACAGAGTATCTCTCTGCTCTACAAAATCTCTGTGCTCTGCCTGTTCATACCCTCTCTAATCAACCTAACACTTAAGTAACACTGATCTCTACTCTTTTCACAGTGCTCCCTTTACCAGAATGTCATATACTTGGACTCATATAGTATGTAGCCTATACATTTCAGATTTCTCAATCTTTTCATGGCTTGATAGCTAATTTCTTTTTACTGCTAAATAACAATCCATTGTCCATTTATTTATCTATTTGCATACTTAAGAGTATTGTGGTTTCTTTTAAATTTTGGCATTTGTGAAAAAGGCTGCCATACACATTGTGTGCAAAGGGAAAGACTGGCCTGAGATCCAGTGAGAGGTATAATTTACATTTGGGTCTCCATAAAGAGTCATGTATTTAATGATGTCAACACAGGACGGGACACATATACAACAGTGATACCACATGATGGAACTGAAAAAATTCCCAAAAACTTCTTTGTAATTTCACATCACAAAGCATTGTTGACATGCATGTGGTGAAGTTGGTGTAAACAAACTTATTTATCCAGTTGTGTAAAAGTATAGCACATGCAATGATATACAGTAGATAATACTTGATTTTGATAATAAACAGCTATGTTATTGGTTTACGTGTTTAGTACTCTCTATTTTTATCATTAGAACATACTCTTTCTACTTATAAAAATAAAAGTTAGTTGTAAAAGAATATGCCTTGTTTTGTTGGCAGCGTCCTCTTTTATCTCGCTTCTCTTGATTGCATCAAAAGGCATGTCCAGTGAGTGATTCTTACTATCTATGGAAATACATATTGTGAAATTCATACAGGAAGGAAATCTAATGCTGCCTTTCTCAGACCATGTCCCCATTGTTAAGTAATACATGACTGTATTTACAGAATCAGTGAAACAAAGATATAAGATTGGTTTACTGTTGGGCTATTTATTTTTGAAGTAGCCACTGATCTCTAAATGTAAATACATATACAGTGAGGAGGCAGTACTGGAATAATAAAATAATTCCCTAAAGATGACAGGACTCCAGACTTCTGGATTTTCTTATCTGTCTTTTTAGCTCATGATTTTCTTCTTCTAATGTACGATGTGGCTACTATTGCTTCAATAATTACATGACTTTAAACCAGGAAAAAGGGGAAAGCAAGAAATAAAAAGATTTCTTTTAGTATGGTATATTTCTCCTCCAGTAAATTTATCATTCTATTAGAAGGGGCAGTGTTCTGGCACAATCATTTTGGGGCACCATTTCACATTTTCTACCTTGAAACCCTTAATAGAGTTGTCTTGACTCCAGTTTAATTCATGTATCCAATTTCTCTTCTGACATGATTTTGTAGAGAGTACTCTGAGACACACATATATGTATATGATAAAAATAAATCCATGTCTATGCATGTATACACATAATGGACACAAGTGCATATAGGTGTGGCCTTAGAATCCCTATGTATGCACATAGAAATACATGCTTACAAACATACGCACATAAAGTGTATATGCATCCATTATATATATAAAGCCTCATATGCATTATGTGCATAACGTCATATATTTATTTGTATACTTTTCTCTTGGCCTTCTTTGGAAATGCCTGGAATTAATCTGAGAAGAAGATATGAGGGTCAGTACGAACAAGTATGGAGCTATCAACTTAGATAGGACTCTCTTGCAACATTTAACAGATGCTTCTGATTTGCATAATATTGGGCATTCTTAGTGTTTGTCATTTATTCAGTAATTACTGAATTCTCACTATGAATTTGTAGTCTGAGTCATTTTGTTTTCTATTGTAGTTATTGACTTCTATGGTGGGTATGGCCTTGGGGCACCTCCTGCCCAGATTCAGAGGAAGTTTGAGCCCTTGCTGATCAGAAGAGTGAGAGACAAATGGATGGATGGCTTATATACTCTCTGTTTTTCATATCTTTGTCTTTGGAGGTTTGTCCTCAAAAGCCCATGCCCACCAAGAGATTCATCTTTTGCCACTGACCCTTA